AACAGCGATGTAGGGATTTTAGACATCGCTGTTGGCATGACCGTTGCTTCCCATTTTTCAAACCGCAAGCCTAGAACAGCGATGTCCAGGTCTAGGACAGCGCTGTCTGGTTGATTTTCAACAGATCCAAATTTCATCAAATCCCACAAATTATGCCAATCACCCCTTAAATACTTTGGTCCGTTGGAGCCTATTTTTCTACTATAAAATGAGGTGTTTGGGTCTGTTTTACACAACACATTACTTCTCAACTCCTACTCTTTCATTGCAAATCATTCTTTAATTATTCATAGCTTTTGAGAGCCATTTTTGTGAAGCTTGTGTCGTGTTCTTGAGCGTTCTTAGTTTACTCAATATCCACTCTAAAAAGAGAGTATTGTTCTTGAGTGTTTTTAATGTTCTTCGACACTTGACAAGAGAAGGTATTTCTCTTGTTGTTCGAAGGAAGGGTTGTTTCCTTCGAAGGTTCGTTGAGGTTCGTGTGACTCGAACTCTCAAGTTGTACGGGTTTGTTAAGCACCGTTAAGCTTAACGAGATAGTAGTGTAGCTCGAGAGAGTCTCTCGGGAGGCTGGATTAGCCACAAGTTGTGGTGAACCAGGGTAAAATCGGTGTGCCTCTTTCTTTTCTCTTTACTTCTCACTTATTCATTTTTATTCCTGCGATTTCTTGATCAAACGCTATTCACCCCCCTCTAGCGTTGGTCTATTATTCTAACAATTGGTATCAGAGCGAGGAAGCAGGCTCGAATCCCTCGGGTGTCGCTGGGGGGAGATTGTTGGTCTTATGGGGGACCATCGATCACCCTTAGGGATTCGCTATTGTGCTTAGCACGGTATCGGGTATTGACAGCCCAACCTGACGAGGTACATGAGTAGTGTATCTTGCGAAGCCCCTCCTGTCCATCCACCGCTCAGTAGTGGGGCTCTGCACTGCCGTAGTGATTTATAGGGGGTGCCCTATAGGAATCTACCTCGGCTTGGGGTTACAGAGAGATGTGGTTAAATACAAAGTGTCCACCCCCCTATCACCAATTGGTTTTAGGAAGCATTTGGCACCTCTTTAACTTCAAAACTCTGTGGTTAAGCTCGCTGGAACGGGAGTAGTCCCAGGATGGGTGACCCACTGGGAAGTTCTAGAAAAACGATCCTACAAGTGGTATCAGAGAGCTGTTTATAAACATTCTCGTGCCTCACTATTCACCCCCCCTCTCGTGCTCTGATACCAATTGTTGGAAAACATTTTCACTTTGACATTTTGCTAATGACAATGTTTGTTTCCATTTAGGTTTTGATATTGACAAACCGTCGGGAACATGGAACAAAATGAAAAGATAGAAAAAGTTCTTTGAAGAAACAAAAAGCACAAGAACGGCATTGACGTTGCTAAAGATGGCGACATTGGCGCTTTGAAGACGTATTCTAAAGACTTAGATTTTATTGTAACAAGCTCATTCAATTTCTCTACGTCATGGCTCAAAACAAAATATGTTTTTCATGCATCAAATTAGTGTTTTCATAAATAGTTTCTAAGTTTCTAAAATCCATGGTACTTGCTTAACCAAAACCATAACCATCGGTTATCGGCGTTC